CTCCATCTCTACAGAAACTTTAAAGCACAAAAGTATACTTTATAAATTATTTAAATTAATCCTAGAGTGTTAGAAAAATCAAAACAAGATTTTTCTGAACGTTTCACCGTGTAAGCCACAGCTTCTTCAGCAGATTTATTCGGATTATGATAATGATAATTTATAATGAATCAATGTGACTCGGCGCTCAAATTATTCCAGGAAATTCGTAACACTTACGGTCTGGAAACCTATAATTCACAAAAGTATACATTAAAAAAAACTCATTCATCTCTGAAATCGGAGAGAAAAAATGACGTGGACTGGCGAAAGCCTTCTGAAATCCAGTCAGCCAGTGCGTTTTCTTTCGATGAAAGCAAAAATAAGCATGGACTGTCCGCATGATGTTTGAGTCTAGGAAAGCTGCTTAGAATTCAGAAGAAATGAAATGTGTAGACAAGTACCAGTTCCTCCATTTATTTCAGAGAGTTGCCATTTCCAACACTCTGCAGACTTTCATCAACAACTGTTTTCGTTCCATACTAAAATGAGATAGTCAGTAAGTATAAACATAAAGAAACCCTGATAACTAACCTGTTGCCCAACAAATATGCCGAGGAAAATGGAGGTAGATTGGATATATTCTGAAAAGATCGTTGAATGACATCATATATCAGACGTTCGAGTTGAGGCCGAATGAGAAAAAAGTTGAGTTGGCAGTCCGACGGTTTTGTGGAGCAGATCGTGTGAGAAAGATATGAAACCTTATAGGTAATCTTTGAGCGAAATAAAAACGGTTGCAGAGAGCAGAGTGAAACAGCTGTAAGTCAAGGGAATAATAATGTTTCCGAGTGAATACAACTGGTTAATCAGTGAGCATTAGCATACATTGGAAGATCTGTTCGAAAATAATGGTAGTTTGGGTGATGTACACACTCTGTTGACAAATGGTCTTACAAACTATAAATAGGTAAATGAACTCTAACTTTAGTGTGCCGCTGGTTCATCAGCAGAATGCTGATCAACTACGCATATGGTCAGATATTCGATCTTCGTTGGACGTACTCCTAAACCCTGCTAAGCTTGGTAAAGGGAGACATTTGAGCGTGTGGCTAGCAACCCTATACCGTGAAAATAAATTCACTGTCACCGAAATTTGAGAGGTTCAGCTTGAAGCTCTATATTCCACTCGGAACGCGAAGGAATAAAGTAACTTCAGAGGAAGCTTTATCGTGTGAGAACTCAATTACAACAGAAACTAAGAGGCACAAGGACAATTGTTTCATTTATTAATTCTGAGCAATTTCACAAACTTGATTCAAATATGTACGCAAAACAAAGGTTACTCAACATGAATATATATATATATATATATATATATATATGATAGGAAAAAGATTAGTATTTGCATATTTTCCTTTCATTTATACAGTTTTCGATTAAACAGCTTCAAGATAATCACGAATCTTATTTCAGCGAAGGTGGGATAAAACTATATTTGATTTCACAATGTATTTATTTTAGGTGCTTTGTTCTCGTATATATTTGAATATTCTACCAGAACTATAATGATATTTTGGCGTGTGCTACTGATAAAATTTATCAGTAGTATAGAAAGAGACATTCATTGGCATAAAAAATATCAAACATCAGAGAGATAGATTCGACGTTAAAGAGAGTAAATGATACAGGAGTACTGGACAGCTGTTTCGTCCTAGTTTGGGACTTATCGGTAGTACAACCTCCCCCTGCCTGGAGTTCGAACTCAGGACCTTACGGCTGCAAGTCGAAATTGTAAACCCGTTCAGCCACTGGGATCCGACTCAATGGTGGTGATTTTAGAATTTTATTTTTCAGAACTCATGGACCATTGAGTCGGGTCCTAGTGACTGAATAAGTCTACAAATTTGAATAGTAGCCTAAAGTTCCTCGGTTTGAACTCTGTTTGTGATTATATGGCGTAATACTGAAGAGTTTCAAGCAGTAGGGCAAAACAGCTGTCCAGTACTGTCTGATTCTCCCGCTTTTCGCTTTCTAGTCACTCGTTTAACAATGGTAAGTAGTGTTATTCAGGAAGCATATTTATTCGGATTAACAATTCGCAAGTTAGTTAGCCATTTGCAATTTACACAGTTCGACACGGCAGTTCAACCACCTTTGCAATCCAAATTGTTCAGATCACAGTTTGTATGCTGCTTGATATACCATGAAGGCTTATCAAGAAGGTAAGAATACTTACAAACAAGCTACGTACTACTGATTGGTTAAGATGATTATTCTTATACTACTCATCTCATCAATCAGTGGTATGTTGTCTGGAGCATGTTTATTCCTAATGAAGACTTATTAGGGTGATATATATATATATATATATATATATATATATATATATACTTCAGCTGATGATGACGTTTCTACTAAAACTTAGGACCAACATACATCCTTTACTCAACGACTATCAGCGTTTGGATTGGTGGATTTCAAACTTAAGTCTCGTTGAGAACATCATTAGCTACTTGAATTCAAGTATGGTAGCGTGAGAGTATCCTGATGAAATGAAATAAGAGTCACTGACTGCAGTTTTAAGCATCATCAAATAAATGACATTTCATACTGACTTGCTAATTATTGCTTCCAACAAACATATATATATATATATATATATAATTAGTATTCCCTTGAGTTCCAAGTGGAACGTAAGGCTTCAACAACACATCTCCACTTTGTCCTGTCTTCTGCTTTCCCCTTCAACTCGGACCACAATTGTCCACAATCTCTCATCTCTGCGTCACACGATCTCCTTCATGCCATCGTCGCACCGATGACCAACTCTTCGCTTCTCATTCAGATTCCACCCGAGCTGTAGCCTGGCGCGATATCATTCGACGGTCTCCTTAATGTATACCTGATCCATCTGCATTTTTTCCTACATATTTGTTGAGCGATTGCACCTCGGTTGATTCGTTGACAGAGTTTCTTGTTACTAATGCTTTCTGGCCATTTGATCTTCAGTACGGAGCCAGCGAAGGCAACTGTTGATAAAAGTCTGCAACCTGTTGACACTTAGTGCAAGTTTCTGACCCATATAGAAGCATCGACTTGACATTAGTGTTGAAAATGCGAATCTAATTCCTTATACTGAACCAGTGCAAAGGATTTCCAAACTGGTTTCAGCTTGATGAAGGCGCGTTTTAACATTCCGATTCTGACTTTGATATCTTCATCCATTTCATCTAAGGTTGAAACGATGCTTCCTAGCCAGATAAGTGAAAGTGATAACCTCTATTAAATCTATCCCGTTGATGGTGATTGGTGCTGGTTGCTCTTGTTGCTGTTGAGGTTGGTTGGTTATCTTCATCACCTCCGTTTTCTCTATGTTCACTTGGATCCCTGTCTTCGCTGCTCCAGCCAGTTTGTTGGCTTTTGCAATGTATATATATATATATATATATATATATATATATATATATATAATTGTTATCTATGATAACGGCATTTGTCTAGTTATCCAAGTAAAAATTGAAAGCAAAATGTGCCTACCTTTCAACAGCTGTACGACAACGGAACGTGTCAAGTCATCCACAATGGAAAATTCAGCGAGGCGTTCGGAGTAAACACAGAAGTCAGACAAAGGTGCTGGCTTATTATCACCAATGATATTCCTAATTGTGGTGGACAGACTTGATTATGCGTCAGACAGTGAGTGGGAAACGAGGAGACAGGGATATCCTGGACCAACGTGAAGAACCTAGAAGACCTGGATTTCGCGCGTGGATGATTTATGTTTGATGTCACACAAAATTGAAGACTCACAAGCAAAAACCGACAAACTGGCCGAAGAAGCAGCCGGCGAAGACAGGACTCCAGGCGAACATAGAGAAGACGGAGGTTATGAAAATAACCAACCAACCAACTAGAACAACAACAGCAGGAACATCCAGCGCCAATCGCCGTCAACGGGAGGGATTTGAAAGAGGTTACTTCATTCACTTATCTAGGGAGCATTGTCTCAACTACAGGAAGTCGGAACGGACGACTATGTCAAATCGAGTGAGAATCGGGAAGGCAGGCGAGAAACACATTCGTCATCCTGAAACCAATCTGGAAATCTTCATCACTCAGCCAGCATCAACAACAAAATTCGCTCGGATTTTCAATACAGACGTCAAGTGAGTCAGTTCTTCTATACGGATCGGATGAGAAACTTGGTGGGGGGCGGGTCACAAATAATATTTCCAACAGCCTGTTGCAGACCTTTATCGAGAAGTAACTATCTTCGCTGGCTCTATACTGAAGATGAGATGGCCGGACCGGAAAGAATCACCGACAAGAAACTATGGCTTGGAGCAAACAAAACAAGAACCAATCGCCAACCAACAAATATGCACGAGGAAGTTGAGATGGATTGGACACTCGTGGCTGAGGAGGCCGGTTGGTGACATGGCGCGCGCGTCAGGCCATTGCTCGAGTGGAACCCGAAAGGGAAGCGGCGAGTGGGGCGTCAGTGCAAGGGTGACATAGGAGAGATTGATATGTATCCATATAATAGGTGTGTTTATTTTTAACAGTCTATTATATTTTGCTATGTGTATATGGATCGATATTCCATTATAATTAACAATCATGTTAAGACTGTCTATTGATTCGTTCATTTTTGAACATTCGCTGATACACTTGTGTTCACACACTTGTTCGGACATTCATACTATTTCACTCACACACTTGTGTGACATTGATTTTCCTTGTTTGAAAAATACAAGTATCATCGTAAACCTAGTGGTCTTCTGATTTCCGCTTTCTTGCGTCAGAATTATTAAATTCTCGACCAGAACATACAGAGATCGTATGAAGAGGAGTTGAAAGAGTATGGACTAACATGGATGGAGTTAAAAAGTAGAGCAGAAGGAAGACAGAAGTGGCAAGTTGAGACGTGCAGTTGAAGCCCTATGTTCCACTAGGAACCCAAGGGAACGATAATAATAATTTGAACTGCATAAATGATTTGTAGAGTTTACAGAAATCTGTATCTTAACAATTGAGTATTATTCACATTTCGGCATAAATTTCTCCAGTTACATAAAGGTAATATATTTTTGACGCTTATGTGAAACAATTCGAAAAATTAAGCCATTAATATCACATACTTTTCTTATTGGAATAGTAAAACAATATTTATTGAACATTGAATTTACATTAAAATTAGTCTGATGACTACTAATCTCAAAAATAAAAATAACGAGCAAATTAAAAAAGGTATCCAGATGAAAATACTCAAAGTGTGAAAATTAACAATGAATAATAATTAAATAATCTAACAAAAAAAAGAACTTATCTATACATAGATTCTCATAATTATTGCAATTTAGTTAAGAATATTTTGTCTCTTGTATGTTGGAATATTCATACGTGATAATTTAACACAGCCTATTTCATCATCATTAATTAAATAATTCCTTTCTTGAATAAATCCATATTTCTTTTTTATGCCTAATTTCCATCGATGTATACGATGTTTTAAGGCATAATTACACGCTATTTGATGAGAATTTCTTCCCTGCGGATAAATAAAATATCCTTTACATTGTGGATTAGCGATACAAGGCCAGTGCATCGTTTCACTTATTTTTCTTACCTATAATCTTTATAGTTTCATTTATAAGCTTTTTTTAAAAACAGTAGAACAGTGTAGTTGAATTATGAGTAATTGGTTAATTTCAGTTTGAAAGTCACTTTTAAATGCACTAAAAAAACAAAATTAAAAGAAAGGAACTATTATTATTATTGGTCAGTTTTACTAATGAACTATTTAAGACTAAAGTGTGCATCTAAGTATTTGAATATCATATGAGAATAGAATTATTAAACATTTTCTGAAGTACAAAATTCGCTAATGTGTATGTACTATATATATTGAAAATTGATAATTGAGCATCATTTGTTTTGTTTTAATCGTATTGTTATAACACGTGAAGGTTTAAAAAAATATATGGATCAAGGATGTATAGATAAAATTATGTGTAAATTCCCACTGCTAACGAATTGAGCAAGGGAAATAATAATAATAATCTCCGTATTATCTTGAGACAGCATTGCCGTCTTCAGGTAGGACATTTCAACTTTCGAATTCTGTACCAAATAGAGCAACAAGCCTAACACACCTCTGCAACTCTTGCATATCAGGATTTGAATGTACGTTTATTATACAGATCAAACGCCTAGAATGACAAGAAACAAATCAGTGTCACCTTTTTACAAGCATCAGTATTGTATACAACATTTGACATTTTCAGTCTTATTACTACTTCAAGTTTATTGTCTAAATATACTTTCTGCTAGCTCGTATGTGTGTGTGTGCCTTCTACATTAATCAACCGGATCAACGCTATTTGGATAGATTATTCCGTTAGAACAAGGGAAGATCGTGAAACTTCTCTAGGGTTTTTCGGAATATACACTTACATATTGACAAAGAGCATTTTGAAAGAAGGAAGTGTGAAACTCCCCTGTTTGCTTAGATAAAGTCATTATAGTAGGTCATTTCAATGCTCAAGTAAGGAAGTTGAACAAAACTGAGAAATATATTGGGGATGACTCATGGACGTCAATGCTGATGAGCCGACAACAGTGGTTATCTATTATAATTTTGTTTGAATAAGTATTTGTTTGTAATATGCGTAAACTTCAAATATTAGGGGATAAAAAGTCTCAACCAGTTGTTAGTTATTGGTGGCAGATAACTGTTCCTGATGAAACACCTGCATGGGCTCTAACCATATATTAGTCTATGTGCATGAATCATCAACTTGAAGACGATAAGTTTTTCTTTATGAATGCCTCCATTATCAAAATTTATCAACCAGTGACAAATCTCCCAGTGAGATGGAATTTATTCGAACAGAAAGGAAAATAAATGGTAAAGTGAATAATAATAATAATAATACACACACACTATTGGATTCAAAATGAAATGTTCAAAGAACTCCCAGTCAAGAATACCTGTCAGCTCTAAATGTCAAGATCGCAATATTATGTAGACGCCACAAGAAACAAAGATGAACTGTCCTCAGAGAAAAGTTTCGAAAGACTACAAAACACACATATATTGATTTTTGTTTAAAAATGAACTGTGTGCAAGTATGTTGAAATTGTTTTTGTGGATATATTTAATAATGACTTTGGTCTGTAAGCAGCTGATGAGAAGCCAACGAAGTCAATGATGGTACCACTGTATTCTGCAAAAATCTGTTGTTCTTGCTTTAGTCAAGGTTTTAAAAGTTTTTTCGTTCGATGATGGGAGAGCAACAAGAATTTCAGCTAAATTTGAGTGTATAGGGAATAATTGCATAGACAACTGGAAACACTGATGGACGAAGTCCTGAATGTTGACATCAGAATCTTGATGGGCGGTATCATTGTCGAACTCGGAGATAACAATACAGGAAGAAAACTGATTTTGGATACGGGGGTCTTCATCAGTGGAATGAATTAGACTATTGAAACTTTCGAAGACTTCTGTTTATTTAGTGATTTTAATGAATGGAGGAAACATGTACGTGCAAGAGGATTTACACAAGTCGACATGAATTTCATTCTACAGGCACACCACAATTGTTTTAAACAATTAAAAAGATGAACCCCCGTGTTTGTTATTATATTTTGCATTAATAACACGTATTATATACTTCTGTAACTCTCTTTCAGTTTTTTTGTCTTCTCTTTTCAAAGATACCGACTTCAGTGTAGGCATCGACACAGTAATGCTGACCTCAACGTTAGTGTTAGTCAGATGGAATGTTGGGATTACTATAACATACACACTTTGCAGTTATTTAGAATATTACTAGCACACCTGGTGAATCATGGAACCACCTTCGTCATGAAGTCTGCTGACACGTTCAAAGTTGGTCTTATATACAACTGGAAAAATCACAATTATAGTGTACTTATCTGTAACTTTGAAATTTTATAGACTTCCGAACACATTATGAAACATTCACTGACAGTTATTGTTCATTCTGAATCTCTTATGTTTCGCTTCAGCACCTACGCTAAAATGCTACTCACCACCTTCCACTATTGGGTGGGGATAAACGCTACCTCATTTTAAATTTACCTCGCTTCTGGTTTTCTCATCTTTCATTAGCTAGAACAGTGGAGGTCAATTCGGATTTTTCATTTGTCTCAGGTAGGCGCTGTTGTGTGTGTTTTTGTATGGTTGTGTTATGCGTGGTTTGCAAACAACTGTGATGAATATAAATGTAACATTCGACTTTTCTAACGTTGTTTCACTGTTTTTTATACAGATACAATACTCTTTTCGATGTACACTCTCTTGGGTCTGGTTATACCCAAGCTTACCAGAATGCTGAATTAAATCTCAATAATCCTGAAATAATTCTAGCATCCTATCTTCAGTAAATTCTGAATCTGTTCTGAAATGGATTCTTTAATGGCACAGACTGGAACTCAGTGCTGGTTTTCAGCATGACTGGAACTAATTCAGCGCCGTGTTCTTTTTGTAGGCATTTTCAGGAGTAGGTCAGAACCTACTGGGTTAGCTTATCAGCTTTATTTCAGCCCTCTCAGCCCATATTCAGCACTGACTAGCATTACTATGTAACAACAGAAGACAAGGGCCAGGAAACATCCTTTATTAAGGAAATCAACACATATTTATAGATTTTCATGTACATATTATAGATTATTGTAAGCAAAAAAAAACAGTTTTCTGATTGGTTGTTTCTCACAGAAAGTAAAATTTGCATCTCTTTGTGGCTGTTTCTTGAATGTCAGATCATCTATATGTTAAATGTATCCACCTACGCAAAGTCTTTCTCCTCATTTTTCTCACGACCAATATCGGGGACATAAACATTGAAGGAAATTACTGTTCACCAATTTTGACTAACAGCCAGCTCTCATCACAACTATAGAGAGAAAAGACTGCTACTAATTATCATCACCTGTGTCCTACGCCGGTGCAATTGATTTAGTTTGCAGAAAGAAATCAGTTTTTATAATTGAGGGAAATTTCTATTTAGAAGTTGCAGTACAATATCACTGAAAATCCATCAAGTGAGATCCACTGGTAGTATCCTGTGAATAAGCAAAATAAAAGATTAGTTGATGAAAAATTGTGCTCATCACATTCTCAGCATTTACATTTAGGAAAGTTTGCATACATAACTGCCACTGTTATATGCTCTGGTATCTTTTCCATTTGCCTAGAAATAAAAACTCAATGTTGTGATTACTACATGTTGACTTAACGTTGACTTATAAAACGAAGCGGGCGTTTCACAATATTACCTGAATGCCTTTCTTCTGGGTACGCCTTTGGACACGATTTTTCAAATTATGAAAGTACAATTTCGTGTCCTTATCCATTATGTCACCAAACTCTCTCTCGATGTCATCAGTTGGTCGGAGAACTGCGCCATAATTACAGCTACAGAAATAAGTACTTCAATAATGAACCTTACATCTCATTATTTCATGAAAGACATAAGGCACAATGCTGGACTTCGTCAAACTCCCTTGGAATGGAAACTTTAAACCCACTTCAGGTTTTAGAACATTGTGCATCATGACATTAAGTGATAACTTCGGATCACTCTAAAGGCAGGCAACCATTTTAGCAGTCTACAAGAAATGATAATTAAATATGTCAACTCACAAATAACCCCCTGTACTTGTCGTCTCTTAAAGATGCTTCCAGCATCTCTATGTGGTCTTCATTCTTGATTGGAAACTCCAGTGTGAAGTCATCGTTTGCTGGAAGGTTGGTTAGTAGTTGAGATTTGTTGTTAATTGTAACAATGTTAAGAATTTTGGTACACAAATTGATAAGTTCCGTTGCAGCATGATGCAATGAATTCATCGCATGATTTCTTCTATGTGTTATGGAAGATGTCACTCATCACGGATGAAAATACAAATGTCTAACCTCCTCAGAATATAAACCTAACTTATGCCTATGGTCTTATTCTCTTTCAATTACCTGATTCTCATAGATTAACTTCTGTGACAACAGCCTTTGCCCGTAGTCAATTTACAACCTGAAAATCTAAAGAGAAATTCGCAAACAACAAAGCTTTAGGGCTCGTTAACGAAAACAATAGTCATTTCTTTGCATAATTTCCTAAAATGCACGCCTTTCTTCGTAGTCATTCCTCTGGGATATCAACACACTGTTACGCATTAATACGAGCACCAGACAAAAATATCGCTTTTTTCGGCTACAGAAGCCTAAAACTACTTAATTATACACCTATGTGGGCATGAACACAATGACCTATAAAATTCGCGAAAATACGTCGCTATAGCCTTTATCCTCACGTAATCCAATATCCAATATATCCAGTATCGTTTTTACGAGCTTTTTTGATTTCTTTGTGCTCTCCTCTTGATTGTGCGGTATAGGTTCCTGATCTTCGGTAAATTTCTGCGTAGATCATCCCGCCACTCGACTGTCGTAGCTTTGATTGACTTCGAAAGGAGCAGTGCTGTGATTAACTATATGCGGTGGCAGCCTGTACTCGGCCGTGGGTCATTTGATCAGCTGATGTCTACAGGCTTTATTTATTGGAAAAAAACTCAAAATTAGGTAGTTTTTCGTTGTTTTACACACTTTTATGCTTGTATTGCAGCTAAAAGTCTATGGAATAAAGCGTTTTCAGCATAAACAGCAAATGATGGTGTCCTTATCCGGCCGTAATTTACGGCCAGTTTACAAATTGTTGAAGTACGTACTTGTCCGTCCAGAAAATGTCGAATTACTTGAAGACACACGTTACAACGACTCTTAGTCAAGT